CACGAGAAAGTTTTCTAAGAATTTGAGCTTTATCCACTGCATCGCTACTGGATTATCGTGTCCAAAGGACACCAACTCATTTCCCTTCACACCAACGGTGACAGTAAAATGGCCACAGTTCTAGAAGGGATTGACGGGCTTCAATGAAATTAGTTTCATTGATAGCTGAAATACAGCGCTGCATAATGAGCGATTAGCTGGCTTACAAAACCCATCCTTTCCAGACTTATGAAGTTCAATTGCGAAATAGGTGCCATCTCTGGTCATTCATCATAATTCTCTTTGTACTTAAGGAATCGAGCTGAAATAGTGCTTCTGATCTACATTCTTGACGTAGTATATGCACACACATTTTCAGGTCTTCAGCACCTATTATGGCTGAGATCCTCTCGGGGGAAGACTTTTGTCGTCTACTGTACGTAGTAGAGTAAGAAAAGTCTTACACAATTACATACATATCCACACTAGTCAATGTTCTTGAATCTATTCTGTCCAGATTCGTGTTGTTCTTCATCGATCAGGCAAGCTTCTTGTTAATCTTGTAGTTCAAATAGGATTCTTTTAACAGGAAAGGAAATAAGATTCTTGTCTAACTTTCATGCCACGTGATATCTCGATGGGGAAGTGTATAAATATAAGCGTCTGTAAGTTATTTATTCACTTGTGTACAGCGGCAACTAATCGTTATGAGAAAAGTTATGTGTTGGCATCAAAAGCTACTAAAAAAGGTTCACTTATTTTGCTTTTTCTGATCAGTTTTTACTATTTATTGTAATAAAAAGTTGTTTTTTGCCTACTTTTCTTTTTCATATGGTAGATTAAATTTTGATTACAAAGAGCAATTTCATTCAGATAATGTATGAATATTATGTTAATATTACATGAGTCAATATACTGAATGGAAAAGTAAATCTGTTGTTACGTTACTGAGTTGTATTAAATTTGATTTAAAAAAAAATCCAAAAGCAGCTGCAAAATATTTTATAGGATCTTATGAAATTAATACTTCTGTATTTCGAGATATATAAAAGACGTTTTCATAATTATTATATTTTGAAAAGAAAATATTTCCAAATTACTATTTCATTGAATCAAGAAGAATCTCATATCTTTTTTCTACCTACACTCATGAATGCTGTTAAGAATTCAGGCAATATTTGTATATAATTACTATGTAATTTTCTGCAATTATTATACCGTCATTTGCTTTTAGAACCATCGTTGCATACGGTGGAACGACCTAGTTAGCGTACTAATTGTAAAGACAAACCATATTCAATTCCACTGCCAATATCTCAGTAACCTGATGCGGAAACTGTAAATAATCTCTATTAATTGTGCTACTTAGAAATTAAATTTTTATATTCTTTATTTATACTTTTAGAGTAAACAGGATTTGTACTCATCGTCAGTTGTTGAAAATTTTAATTGTGATGCACTTAGTAGTGATGAGAATACTTATGATTTGGTTGGGATTCAGTTATTGCTGAATTAGATGGTAAGAAATATTGTTTTCTTGTTTCGTTTTTTCTTGGTCAAAAAATGTTTATTTGCTATTTTTCAACCTCTGTGTCGTCCTCTATTAGGTTGAAACAGTATCGTTTATGTGGGATTCTAGTAACAAAGTTTCCATTTTTTATTCTTCAAAGAATGACAAGATTTTTTATCATTGTGCAAACATTACTATGAACGAGGATATAGAAAAGTCATTTGTTTTTTTATGACCAGATGTTGTTGAAGAATTAGATGAAACATTATACGATAGCGCACCTGTTACATGTAAATCTTATCATAAAGAACTATTTGATTTTGCAAATTCTATTTAGATTAGATAATACAAATGTTAATAAATTATCGAAAAATAACAAGAAAATTTCGTCAATCAAATCGACAATAGACGAACAGTCATCTAATTCAGGTGCTGAAAATGAAGAAGATGAATAATAATCGTTACGCACTATTAATGTAAAAAGACTACTTTTGTTATTCATTTCCCCTACGCGTATTGATGAACTTGTCAGATGTATTTCATGACCATGATTTTGTTTTCATTATTATCGTATATATTCTTCTTTTCGTCTTTTTCTTCTTCATCTGAAGTTGTGTAAAACAATATGAACTTTTCTTATAGATATTTTTTTGGTTTTTTCTATTTTTGTTAAAGCCTCGATATAAAGTGAAACAAGTGAAAGGCAATAGCCTTGTTAATCTATAGCATAAACGTCAAGGAAAAAAAGAATCTGGAAAAAACATATTGAAGAATATCGATTAGTGTGCATATGAATAATCGATGAAAAATGTCATTTTTATCGTCGTAAATTTCTATGTTAACTTTATCGACATACGTGTTTTGTTTTAAGTTTTTTTATAGTTCTTTGCTATAAGTATTTAATAAAAACACTATTGAAAATCTTGAGCTTAGAAAAAAGAAAAAATAATAATCGGCGCAACACCAGATTATTTTTCTAAAATAAAATACATTTTAATAGAATTTAATTGACAAACAACGAACATGTAATAACAGAAACTAAAATTTACATTCTATTAAAAAGATCATGTACAAGTATATGAAAATAGATAACACTCGAAAAATATTAAATAACGATTTATTGTGTGCCAGATATGTCTAATTTATTGGGTACTGATGGCTTAACATGTTTAAATTAATATATTGCTTATACAAGGAAATATAATAGTGTTGTCAATCGGTCAGAATTATTTCTTATTTGTTTTATCGCTGTCTCCATCAAGTTGTGTAAATATAATGAAGAGTATATTTTGTTCACGTCTCAACTTTACAACTATCATTTGTGAAAAAATCGATCAATATTTTGCCCAAACTCCTAACATAAATTTAAATAGTTAATATACATGAATGTGTAGCTGTGATAAAAGTTTTAATCGTAATTAAATTCGCAACTAAATTAGATAAACAAGGTTTTAATGTTTGTGCTAATATTTATAATGTGAATAATAAATATACATTAGCAAAACTTGTTCCATCAGGTGTAACTATCTTCAAATCAGATATGATTCGACAAGAACATTTCAATGTTGTTTATGAACTTATTAGTACTATAAGAAAAATTTCTCACATATTGGTTACAGTTATTTTATTGATTGGATTGCGATAGAATAAATTGTACGCAAGAAATAATGCATATAAATTTATTTGACTAAATTACGATAATAAAAGCACTTTTACTATTAATTATTAGTAAAAAAAGATTCATAGACTGTTAATATTTATTAGCTAATTATTTATCTAGATAAAAAAAATAATTTCTAATTATTGTTAAAAATCTATCCTTGAAGCATTTTCAGTTCGTCTTCATTGTGGAATGGTTGTATGATATTGACGTAATAGTGTTATTGAAGCAAGTTTAATGCGAACACCAATAATTGTTGGACTTTTGAATCCAGTAAATGATTTATGGAATAAATTTTTCACAGATATCGAACAATGATGGTGTATCCTATTGATTTGAAGTACATGTAATTCACCAGCTTTTGCTAGATAATTAGAGCAGAGTATGAAGTATTCACAATATTTACTTAAACTGATTTGCTAGATCAATTCTTGTATTAGTAACGAGATATACCTACCGTTTAGAGATTGCAAATTCGTGGAATTCAAGATAATCAAGTAAAATCCAGTATTCAGAACACCTACATCAAGACCGCATGCGCCAATCTTTGTAGTCCCGTCTATGAAGTAGTATAGGCTATGGTTGCACACCAGAGAACATCGCAGGCGGTTTCTTCGTCCTACTCTGTATTCTTCAGGACATTTTCGCTCAATCATCATGTTTTGCAGGACACATAGCAAGGCATCAAGAAATTCGTTGTAGCAGTACAATGTCATTGCTGTGTTTTTACAACGATATTAAATCTGTCTGTATATGAGATAAGAAGTCAAATATCATGGACTCTCTATTAATTAAAAAACATCATCTTAATGAACCTTATTACATGTTTTCCAGTAGAGATAAAATGAAAAAGATACTTGAAATGCATAAGGTGAACAAAAATAATAATAAAATAAACATAAATATACTGGATTCAAAATGTAACCAATATAAACAGATAGGCAACAAAAAAGCATAAGTTTTCTTGTCATTTTTTTTTCTGAATTTCTCATAAAAATGAATAAATAATGTTGCCAATTTGACTTGAAAATAAATGCGTTCGTCTTTAAGCAAATGTCAATCCAACTGACTACTATTGCCAATAGTGGAAAATCACGATAAGTTTCACTACTAGATCAGAATTCCATCAAATCTCAATCAAGTAGGTGACTCGAGTGTCCTCTACATCTTGCATCATAAAAAAATTGTGTCTAGTTCCTCCAATTACTGGATGGTGGGTGCTACTGTTTATGCGAAGTTCATATGTTGAAAGAGTATTTCGTAAGAAAAATTTCACGTATCCATAGCGTTCGATGCTATAGCTTTCATTTCAAATATTATCAATCGTTGTCTTTTGCAATGGCAAGCTTGATTTTCTTCACTTTTAAGTTTGCATTCTCGCTATGTATAGGTGACCTGATGGCTGATCATATCGATTATTTCTGATAGTCAATCGAATTTATTATACTTATTTAATACTTTCATTATAGTGTCATCATAAATATAATTCATTGATATAAAATATCTTCTTTTTGCATTTGTTTCATTTAAACCCTCTATTTAACAATGCAAATAAGACAATGTATATATTTTTTTTTTCTTTTACATTTGAACATCTTCGTCATTTGTTAGAGGATTTATAAATATACATTGTCGTCTCCAATTAGGCGCATCTCCTCGTTTTTTTTTTCTCTTCTTCTTCTTCCCTTACGTTCTCATCGTTTCTATTCAATCAATTTGATTGAATAAATAGAGACAACAATCTGTTAGTGATGTAATGCTTATAGATAGAAGAATAAAGGATTAAAGATGAATATACAATTCATCGATGATCGGATCAATTTCAGTCAGACATTATGATGAGTTCATCATCAGCAACAAACTCTTCTCTATCATCGTTTTCTGATGAATGTGAAACATCTTTACCAGAACCACCGCCGCCACCACCACCGCCGCTGCCGCCACCTCCAATCTCATCAATAAATATGTAAGTTCCTGAATACCTATAACATGTCAATTGAATATTTATAAATTATTCAAATTTAGAAAAATCAACGAATGTGTTGGCGGAAAGAAACTTGTACATAAAATTGAACCTATATTTAATAATGATACGACTAAAATGCGTGTCTTTCTTGAGGATGGATCTCTTACGGAATATTCAATTGGAGATATAACAACAGCGGAAGTAAGATAATGACTTTATAAAAAAAAAAAAAAGCAGGAAGAAACATTTTTCAATATCTAGGAATTAGTAGAAGAAGTAGCTTTTCGTCATAGTCTTGGTTCGGATATTCGTCGATATCGATTAACATTAAATGAAGCACGTGATCCTTCTTGGCGATCAATTCGATATATTCGACCTCAACAAAAATTAAAAGAAGTAAACATATTGATAATTATTTTTTTCTCTAATCAAATAAACATTATTTATCAAGGTATCACAATGGTCATGTACAACTGAAACAACAATTTGTACATTACGTGTTGTTATTGTTCCTTATCAAGCTGAAATATTAGCTGATAAAGAACCAATTACATTTACTTATTTATATAGACAAGTAAAATAAATGAAGAAAAAAAAATTTTCTATTTATTTTTTTTTAAAGAGTATCAATGATTATATTCGAGAACGTGCTGGAAGTGAAATAAGCGTAGATACTGCTGTACAATTAACAGCACTTCTTATTCTTGATGAATCCTTATGTACTGGTGTTCGAGCAAATACTCTTGTCAAGTATGTTTTTTATTTTTGTTGAATTAATTTATTTTAGAATAAGACTAAAAGATAGACGATCATGGTTATTGAGACAATTATTACCACGTTCATTACTTGATCAATTTTCTTTAAAACAATTAATTAATCGTGTACGAGCACATCTTCATAATAATAATAATAATAATGATATAACTCAATTGAATGTTGCTAAACAATTTATACGTATATTTTCGGAAAATACTCGATCATTTGGTGGAAAATTATTTCCTGTTAAATTTCCGGTGAATAATATTCGTTTTATTTTGTTATTTTTTCAAATTTATTTTTGTTGTCTTTTTTCTATTAGGATAAACATCGAGATTCAATTTTACTTGTTGGAGCTCGACATACAATAGCTATTCTTGATCAAGCAAGACGAATTAATTCACCTGTATGTTTTAAAAATAAGTTAAAGAAAAAAGAAAAACAATTTTCTTTGTAAACAAAAAGTTTTAGTAATTTGTCTGTTGATCTATGAGCTATTATATAGATAGTCAATGTATGTTTATACAGCAAAATAATGATATTTGTAAATGTAATACAATAGACATGAGGAAAGAAAAGCAAGTATCTTAATCTCTCGTAATAAATCCTTTGAAAGCTTTAGAGAAAAGACTAATCCATCTTTATGGATAAAGATTCATTGTATTTGACAGAAATTATTAGAGAAAATGTTTTTTTTTTTTGTAGTGTTAATTTCATTATTTTCAAATTTTTATTTACAAGAGAAGTTCTCATACAGATGCATCACTTATGAGATCAAATATTGTTCATAAGATGATATTGTCGAGAAATTCAAATATAAGACTACGCTGATCGATAAATCGAATTGTTGTTAAAGTTTTTTCAGCATTTTCAATTATCTTCCAGTATCCAGGTGTCAAATCGCTTTTCGACCAAGAACATGTTCATTTGATGAGTAATAGCAAGTATCCTCAAGTCACGTGAAAATCGACTTTCGACTTCAAACTTTGTATGAAAAAATTTCTCAATGATATTAGTTCATTGAAAGATTTGTAGCTTGGTCGATGTCCCACGTGATCTCAGAAGAACTACAGCTATTTATTGAAAAAATCAGCAAAAGTTTGATATATCAAGAACGAAGACTCGGACAACCAAATCATTCTAGACTTTTCTAGCATTCATCAAATAAATATTGTCTTAGTCGAAAAGCTATTTGATATTTGGAGAGATTCCCTTGTCAGAGTCAAATTCAATAAAAATTTCTCTAACTTCTAAATAATAAACTATCAGCACAAACAATTTTATCATTTTTCTTAGTTTCATTAAAAAATTTAAGTTCAAATATCAACAAACAGCTGAACTACGAATTTCATAAGTCTATCGTTACTGAAGAAAACAAACTATAAAATAATTATAGAATAAATCGTGAAATAACTTGTTTTTAAAAGGTCAAAACATAATCAAGATGACATCTTACACTTGAACAATATAAAATAAATTTCAACAAAGAAAAATATTTCTTTTGTCTAACAAATAATTAAGGAAAATAGTATTATAAATCATTTCTTTTGTCATTTAGATATATTAGTATTAAAAGATTAACTTTTTGTTGTATTATACGACTTTTCTAATTGGATAAAAATTGTCTGTCTCATCTTTCATACTTATAGATCTTAAATTGCTATGAAATAAATATTTGTTTAAATTTTTTACTTTTGTTCACTAAAAAAATAATGTTGTAGGTTATAACACTTGTCTCTGCTTGGTCTCATTTATCTCGTGTTATTGTTAAACAATATCGAAATGGTGTAGCTATTCGTTTATTAACAACACCTCGAAAAACAACAGCCGATGATTCATCTATTCTTCAACAAGAAATAGCTTTTTTAATTCATACAAATTTACTTAATGATTTTATGGCATTTATTGAAGGTTATTCACAATTAGAATCATCAAATTTTCCATTATCTATTGAACGTATATCACATAAAAGTAAATCACCATCATCTAGTACAAATAAATCGAAATTAACAAATTCACCAAATGAATATCAAAGTGAATTATCACGTCGATCACCATTTCTACAACAAATATTAAGTAATAGAAAAAATCATCGTACATATACATTAACACGAGAAAAACATATTTCACCACCAGCTAGTCCATCATTATTTGAATTAACACGACAATTTTTTACACGAAATCCTACAAAAACTATTGATATTGATGAACGTGAAACTATTTCAAATATACCAAATCGTACAACACTTGTTACATGGCGTTCAATAGCTGATAATCAAACATCATCAACAACAACAACAACGCCACCACCTCCACCTGTTCTCTATCGAACTGTTATTAATGTTAAACATGCAGGTAGAATATTTATTAATCAATAATTGAATATCTATTTCAATAGGTTCATTTATACATTTTCTTTCTCTTTCATTTCATATTATATTTAAAGAACAAATGACATCTATTAGTGATGATGATGATGGTGAACCTGATGTAATCGGTATGTACATTTTTCTTTTTCTATAACATTCTTTATTCAATCCCGAATACATTCTACTTATTAACGAAATTTATACAATGATTAACAAAAGGAAGTCCTCTAATTAATAAATTGCCTTTTAAATCGAGACTACATGCATTATGTAGACCTAAACAAGTTATGAATATATGAAAAAGAAAAAATTCATGCTCTTAGTTTATCTTTTGAGATATTTTTTTAATTGAATGTTGTGTTGCAGAAAAACTGATTTTCGAAGTTTGGTTTGAAATTTTGCAGTGACACAAATAAACTACTCTTGTTAAAGTCTATGCAAAGTTTCAAGTTGAAATTCAAAGATCAGTTTGTCTAGACCACAGAATTCATTTAAAATATACCATAAAAGTGCAGTGTCTGCATAGCAATAAACTAAGGACACAAGCTCTTTTCAAGGTATTCATAGTCTGAATAACCTCAAATTAAAGCAATTTATCAATTGAAGGACTTTTCTCGTAAAATGTTCGATTTTCTAAATCAAACAAAAATTTTTCATACTAATTATCGATATTACATTTCAATTTGATGATCATTTGTTAAACATTTTAATTATGAAAAGATCGTTGCTCGAATTTTTAACATGAAAGATAACATACAATCATTCTTTTGCTTAAATAAATATGAATTCAGAAATTGATGAACACTAAGCATAACCTCTATTAACAAATATTTGAATATGATAGAAATCAAATAAACTATAGATCTATGTAATTATTTGAATAAATAACATTTTCTTTTTTTTTTTTTTTGTCTACATATTAGATTTAACAACATCGTATGGTTACTATGGAAGTCTTAGTTTTCCTATTCGACCACCATCACCATTTGCTGATGGTCTTATTTGGTCAGAAATGGCAAATCAATGTAATAATGAAGATGAAGACACTGATGGTATTGTTGTATGGTCACCATCAACAAAACAATTAACTGTTCATTATAATAAAAATAATAATAATAATAATAATAATAATAATAATAATAACAATATAAATTCTCATTCACCTATATCATCACGTACAGATAGTACATGGAAACGAACATTAAACAGAATTCTTAAACGAACAAAAGAAGAAAAAGGTTTTTTTTTTCTCTTAATATTAGTTTGAAAATCTTTTTTTTGTTTTTTTCTTCAGACATTCCACAAATAATAACATATCCATATGATTTTGGTAATGGAGAAGATTTAATAACAACACATCATAATAGTAAACATGTTCATTGGATTGATAATAATGAAGCTATACTAAATTCATGTCGTCATTTTGTTGAACATTTAAAAATATTTGTACAAAATGTTATTAATGATAAAAATGACGAAATTTATTTAAAAAATTGTCAAATAATTTTAAATGAACTTAATTCATTAATTGATTGTTCAGAATTAAAACAAGCATTTGAATATACAATTGAATTAGCAAATAAACATGAAAAAAATCAATTACTTCAACAACAAACATTTATTGCACATTTAATCTCTCGTGCTCTTCTTTCTTCTTGATTATATTGATAATAAACAAACAAACAATAAAAAAAAAAAAGAGAATATATATCTATGTATATAGATTATTCCGAGAAAAAAAATTTTTTTTTTTCCTTTTCGCAACAGAGAGAGAACAAGGTCATGAAGAGGTCATTGTGATTCTGTGTGGCCATCAGTTTGCATTTCATTATTGAATAGAAAGAAAAAAAGCATGAATAGACTATGGTATGTTCAACAACAGCATGAACTTTTGTCTTCACCTACATCGATACACTGTCATAGAATTGAAAAATATTCATCCGTTGTTGAAGGTGTTCAACGTGTAAGACGAGTTTTAGCTGGTACTTATCAAAAAGGTTTGTTACGATTTGAAAGAGAAAAAAATCGAGTATGTATTTTCTTAGAGAGTAAAATATTAATTGAAGCCTGTTGTCGAAATGATATTGATACAGTAAAATGGCTATTGGAAAACGTTAATATTGATGCAATTAATTTAAGAACAGAAATTAATCGATCAGCCTTACATGAATCTGCTTTACATCGTGATGGTCGATCACTTGTACGTCTTTTATGTCAATATGGAGCTGATCCTACACAACGTGATTCATTAGGCTAGTTTAATTTCAATGAAAATTTATTTAGTTAAATTATTCTTTTAAATTTATTTAGGTCGTACTCCAATTCATTATGCAGCTAGTTATGGTCATCTGGATATCTTATGTGATCTTATTGATTTTTCACAAGTTCTAGTATCAACATTAGTTGATACAGATGGTCGTTGTCCATTAATGTATGCTTGTGGTGAAGGTCATTTATCAGTATGTCAATGGTTAATTGAACATGGTGCTGATTATTATCGACGAGATGATCGAGGTCGTTCATGTCTTATTTATGCATGTCGAGGAGGTCATGTTGAAATTTTTCAATGGTTACTAGAAATATTACCTCCGAGATCAACACATACAGGTTGGCATCCACTTCATTTTGCGTGTTCAATTGGAAATTTAAATATGGTTGAAATTCTTATACAATACGATATCTATATGGGAAATGTTTTAACTAATACTGGTCATTCAGCATTATTTATGGCAATGCATTCAATTAAAAATAGTCATGAAATGGTTAAATATTTACTCGATTCATATTCATCCGTACAATTAACGTCACAAGATATTGAAGATTTAGATTGTGATGAATCATTAATTCTTTTACTTGCTCAACGTCGTCATTCGCTTACTTATTTATTAAAACTTATTGAAAAAACAAATTATCCATTGCGACTTATTCGTCTTCTTCTATTAAGTGAACATATTTATTCTAAACAAGATTTACTTTCTATTCCTGATTATCAATCAATGATTCGTTATCATCTTCAAAATCCATTAAAACTTAAACAAATTAGTCGTTGTTTAATAAGAAAATCTATTGATACAAGTGATGAAATCGATCTACTAGAAATCAATCAAAATTTAAAAAAATTTATTCGTTTTGAATTTTTCTATTGATTATTTGTCAATGAATAGGTTGCATTGTAATTGAGCTAATAATATACTTTGAAGATTAGGATCAAGATTTGTTATTTTATTTGCTATTTGATCACATGCACCTGGCATACGCTCATAAAGAAATGTATTTAATTCATCAATAGCTGTTGCTGGTGAATGAGTTATACGAAGACCAGTAGCAGCAGCATCTAATAATAATGGATAATCATCCATAAAAACCGTTCTTACACCCCATTCATAATCAAGACGTGCTTTTGCTGATTGACATCGAGCAAGAAGACCAACAAATGATGTTGGAACTTTAACAAGAAGTGGATGAGTTATACTGTCTAATAATTCAATTTGAATTTCAAATGATTGTAATGTTGATATAGATTGTCGAATATAGATAATAATTGAAAGTTTTGATCCATCATAAGTATAACCATTTGTTGTTCCATCTTGACCATGAATTAATTCATTGAATGGTTCAAAAGGAACTGTAACACCATTAAGAAGAACACTAGTTGCAGGAAAAACACCTCGGAGGTGAATTTCATATGTACGTATTAGTGGAAAAGTCGAAAATACACTTGATGCTGCAGATACACCTGTATGAAAAAAAATATCAATGTAACTATCTCATTTTTTTCATTGTGAGAAATAAACTTACTGAATTGTAATGTATTGTCTGAAACAGTATAATTGAAATAAGTGACAGCACTTGTTGCACGAGAAGAATCTTGATATTCTATTGTTATTCCATCATCTTCATAAACATATCCACTTCCTTTAGATGATCCACCAATAAGAGTATATAAAAGAAGAGTTTCTGGAATTCGTTGAGCACGACCAATTCGTTCTCGACTTGATTTTGGTTGAGATAAAAGTGGAATAATAGAACCAACTTTTGCATAGACTGGCATTTCATCCAAAGTAAAAGATTTTGTTTTAGAAGAAGAAGAAAGATCACCAGTAAAGAAATTAACCCATTGAGAATCAGATGGAAACCAAATAGGCCAATTTTCTACAAGACCTGTAGTTGTATTAACTGGTTGACTGATAGGTGAAACAAACATATTTGAACCAAAAAAATATTGATTTGAATATATATAAGCTTCATCATTTTCTGGATAAAAATAATAAAGAGGTAAAACAACAGAAAGACCCGAGTCATAAGTATGTCTTGCAGCTGTATAGATATATGGTATAAGTGCTTGACGAAGTTGAGTAAATTTAGCTAAATTATTTTGATAGATCCATGGAAATGTCCAAAGTCGTCGATCATTGTTTGCATTTTTCGTACAATGTGTTCGAAACATAGGTGAAAATGTACCCCACTGAATCCATCGGGTGTATAATTCAGGATCTGGTTCTTCAGTATGTCCACCAAGATCATGACTCCAAAATCCATAACCAACATTAGCTGCTGTAGCAGTGAATCGTGGTTGAAATAAAAGCGTATCCCATGATGGTACAACATCACCTGAAAAACCAACTTGATAACGATGATTACCAAGACCACCCCAACGATGTAGGAGAGCTGGACGATTGTTTCCAAAATAAGGATCAGTAAAAAAGACATGATTTAACCAAAATGTTGGGTTCGTATAAGGTATATCATTCATCCAACCTTGTTCACCTTGTTGCCAATCTAACCACCATAAATCGATACCAGATTGTTGAAGTGCATGAAGAACAATATTAAGCCAGGATGATGTGTAATTCTTATCGGTGACATTGAATGGCACATAGTGACCTGTAGTAGGATCAATTCCCATAGCTTGAGCCATATCTTTATATTTTTCTTCCCATGGTTGAATGCCTACATGAATCAATTCATTAGTAAACTGATAACAGAATATAATTTTAATTTACCTGATGCTGGATGAAGATTCAGAGTATTTTTCAAACCCAATTGTTTACACCATTGAAGAAATTTTTGATGATTTGGAAAAAGATGTTCATCAAATGTAAATCCTGTCCAACCAATACCTTGTCCAGCTTGATCTCTTGTACCGTTTGAAAGTAATTTATAAAATGTGATATGCCAATCCATATCTGTAACAAGAACATCTAATGGAACATCATGTTGAATATATTCAGTAATAATTTGTCTTTCTTCATATTCAGCATAAGCCCAATAACGACTAAAAAATACTCCAAATATATAACGAGGTGGAAGTGGAATTGATCCTGCAAGACGTGTAAATTCAAATAATGCTTGTGAATAAGATCGACCATGTCCAAACAAATACAAATCTTGTTGAGCTTGCGATGAATAATAACATGATGATGGTGCTTGAAAGCAACATCCACGAAGTTCACATTCATGTTGTTCTGTATTATTTGATGATCCACAACTTCGGCGTTCTCCAACTGGTACTGCTTGACAACGTACAGGATCAGGTGTTGGATATCGTTGATTAATGATCCATGGCCATTGAACATTACTATCCAGCTGTGGTTGGTGCGTATCATCAACAAGAGCATAACCACGACGGGAGATAACACCATAAGTACAATGGAGATCATTGCGAGGTTGTTTTCGACAATCCAGTTCGAGTTTTGAATCGCGGTTTCCGTCTAATGTACGTAATGTACCTAAAAGATTTCCGTCATATTCTTCTCCAGGTATGGCATTCCAAACAACTGTTTCTCCTTTATCAATATTAACACGAATAGTAATACGAATATTATGTTGACTAAATGTTGTTGTAGCACTTCGTAGATATTCTAATGTAATAAAAGTAGTATCGATTCGTAAATGAGTATCATTTCGTGTAACATTAAATACTGGGGGAGTTGGTTGAATTTGACGTGATTGTACAAGCCATGTTTTTCCATCGAAAAATTGTTTTGTTGGTGACCATTCCATACGAATGAGACGTGTTGATAAGATGGTAAATCGAGCTTGACCTTCATAAACTATTGTTGAAGGATTAGGTAATAAATTATCATAGGCGACTGTTGTCGCTAAAATGGCCGAACAAAAGACGAGCCACACCGCCATTGTTGTTAAAGGTAGTATTACCTCGAAATGATTCTTTACAAGTAATGTGCGACTGTTCTTATCAGAAGTCAAGAGCATTAGATAAAACAATCTTTACGAAACAGTATATCTTCTTCTATTATGCTTTTATAATAGAAAAGAAAAGTTATCAATATTTACTGATAATAAAGTATACAGATATTTGGTTAAAAAGTACTATCACGAACCTGTCTTCTTTTAATAAAAACACACACAAACATTTTATGATGTGCGATAGAAAGAAAGGAGTTTTATCAGTATAAAGACTTTTCAAGATCGATCTAGTACCCTGCATGGAGTTAATTAAATTTTTTATCAAGAATTCAGTTTTAACAGTATGAATTTTTTTAGAATAAACTCCCCCCCCAGAATAAAAGGCCATGGCCTTCTATTATGGAAATTCGCATCGCTTCTGCCAAGGTGGCCTTCTATTGTGGGCTATTTTTTGCTAAGATTTACCTAAAAAACCAGGGGTTTTTGGATAAATTTTCTGACGTTCAAAAAGGCACTTTTAGCAGTCAAGTTCCGTAAAATCAGTTTTTTGACTAGAAAAAAAGTAATTTTAGCTACAAAACCTTGGGTTTTTACTAGAAAACCGATATTTTAGGTATTAAAATATAAAAATCCACTGGATTTCTAAAAAACGTTTCTGGAAACCCTATGGTCTTCTATTGTGCCTTGTGAGTTTTTTTTTTCTGGGGTGGCCTTCTAATATAGGGTGGCCTTGTATTCTGGGGAGGGGTTTAGTAGATTTCGTTCTCTGATATTTACTATACAAAGCAATACATATTCGAGGTTCAAAGGAATGTCTTCTAAGATCTGCGCACATGAAAGAAAGTCAGAGTTGAATTTAATCCCAACTCTGTTTCATATTCGAATGCTGCTAAAAGACATCGGTGGAGCCTCTAAAATGTATCAATTTTTATAGCAAATGTCAGAGAACAAAACTTACTCTTGAAAAAGTTCGCAGATTAAAAATGAATTCTTGATGAAAAATTTAGTTGGCATCATTTATGACTCTAGATCAAATGCATTTATGAAAGATAATCTAATTACTGATGTACTACTCTCTATTTATTGAAAGATTTTATCTTCGCAAATGAATCACAGTTTATTGATATTATGGTCAGAGAGATACACTTTCACAATTCAGAACCTATTTCATAAATGTTCAAATTGATTAGTGTAACGAAAAATTGAAAGATATGGTTTGTTTCGTTACTGCCATAGCATTTATTTTATTGTGATCACAATGACAAACTGGAAGAGTAGCGTTACCGCTATTCTCGGTGTATAATGTTAATTCCACTACTACATTATCCAGTTGTGTTGTTCTTTTCTTTTACACGTCCTGATAAAGTAGATACGTTAGACTACTCGGTTACACAAGAGAAGAGAAGATACAAACATACGTATAGCACGTTCGAAGTTACACAAGAGAAGAGAGGACATAAATATCCGCATAGAACGTTCGAGGTTACAAAAGAGAAAGCAAGAAAGATATTACAACACTAAACAAGAACGAGAGTTCATCAGTTACGAAGATTAGATGTCACAAGAGCGATATTATGCAAGGATGACATCTAGCATTGATGACCTCGTACAAGAATGATATGTTGTAAACAGATTGTGCCTATCGGCATAATTAGTTTGAATACTTTTTCTTCGTACCAAACAAGTGACGATTTCGCATACAATGCATTAATATTAAAGTCGACTGATGTCTATTCTTTTCCTGTCTACCTCCTTCTATACTACATCTTATTTTTTTTCCTTTTTCTTTATCATGCTTAATTCACTCTTGTATCGTCCTATTTTACTCATTTACTGAACTATGTGATGAACCTAGTCTTGCTCATGTATCCCAATGGCAGTCCATCCATACTGTTATTTCTCAAAGTATTCAAGAGTGCAATCATTAAAAAAAAGCACATTCAAAATAAGATGTAGT